ATGATGTTAATGACTTATATAAATACTTTATAATAAATTGTATATTTCACTATGAAAGACTGAATGAGTAGGGTAAATAATGAATCTGATTTTATTAATTTGTTATTTATTTTATAAGTACCCACATTTTTTTTTTAAATAATAGCTATATAATTATTAATATAGTATAAAACTATATCCTAGACTGATAAACTGTATCTTCTCAGAACTGCTTTTCGTATACCATGATATTTTGAATCATTGAATTTAAATGTAATACCATCCATTACAGTAACCCACTTGTAAACTATACTGTAAATTGAGCGACATCTTGTCCGCTTTTTTAATTATGTAATAAAGTCTAAAGATTAATGTAACTTACTTTATTTCCAAGTTCATGAGCAATTGCAAGTGCAATTGCAGTTTTGCCTGTACCTGGAGGTCCAGCAACTAAGACAGCACGGCCAGACATTTTTCTTGTTCTAATCATATCAACAACAATACCTGCAGCCTAAAAAATRAAATTATTTTTACCAATATTATTTTCACTATTTTGTAATTAAAAATAATTTTAAAAAWTTTTTCCAATGTTTAAGCTAAAATAAATTAAATGCATTTTCATAGTACATTTTTTGAAATGTTTTAGAAAATTTAATTCCCAGCGCTACAAAACAATTTAAGATAAGCCATAAGAAATTTACTTGTCTGGCATCTTCTTGACCAACTAAGCCAGAAGCCATTTGAATAGCTTCACCAAATTCATCAAGACCCAATCCTTTGACATGACTGTGACTGGATATACGTTGAGTTTTTACGGTACTTTTTACTTCTTCAATTTTCATGGTGAAAAATTGTCAAACTCAAAACTCAAATATTCAAAATGTTTAAAARAAGTATTAACTCAAAGTTGTTATTTCATTATACTAGTCGAAATTAGACAGTAAGTATGGGTCCTAATAGTGTACAGCGTCAGCTAAGAGATGTAATAAATGTTAATAGTCTATCGAATACTATATACTTATATWACAATTTACRAATTTCACAAAATTACTCACCTCGTGCAATTAWTGTGGACTGTCGGACTGTGGTATCGAAAAAGCGCGTATCGTTACTTTTATCAGTAATACCATGGAAACCGGCATTTTTCATGGCTTACAAAACTATAGCAGCGTTGTTCAATTTTTTTTATTCTGACAAGCCTCATATATTTTCTTTTCCATCTGACAAATATTTTATTCCAAGATCTAGTATCTTTATATATGTCATTATCATTATCATTATATATTACGATTATTTTCTTATTCATCGTACGTCCAAAATTCACAAAACATTTTCGCCGACTGTTTGCGTTTAATCAATAATTTTTGACAAGTTATTTTTGCACCGTCTGAATATATAGGTTCAGCAAAATGTCAGACAGCGAAGAGAATGCAAAGATGATCACTGTGAGTGTAAAAACGCCCAAAGAAAAGCAATCAGTCGAAGTGCAAGAAAACGCTACTATTAGTGAAGTATGTATATTGATATAATATACACGTATGTATTGTAGTGATTAGAGTATGAGCATATTAATTATGTAGGTACGTGCTTAAAAATTTTCCAAAATATCATTGATTTGTTATAGTTTTAATTATTAATGTTATTCTCCATTTATTTCTTGCATTACAAATCAAATAGTTATTATTCATTCCAGTTTTTTAGGTTATGTAATTATTTCAGCTGACTCATTTAACTATCTTTAATTATTAAAATACATATTATTATTTAAACTGATGGCTAGGTAGTAGGTCCTATGTACAC